CCTTAACGGAACTGCCACCCTGACACCACTGCCGGCCTGAGTTACAACCGCCTTTTCGAACTCAGGCCATGACAAAGTTGCCTATGCCTGTTTCTAATGCCTTTGCAAACTCAAAACATGCCACATCCGCCTTTCTGAAAAAAAACATTGAAGCAGGGGGGAGTATACCTCTGCAGGAGAGGACCACAGTCTCAGGGAGATTAGCAGCAGAGCCTGTTAGAGCGGTTCTGAGCAGGGTGGAGCCTGTTTGGTCTTCAACTGCAACGGATCAAAATAGTGCCCCGAAGAAATCCAAAGTAAAGAAAGAGGAGAAAGGACTGTCCCACAGTACAAGGAAACGTTTTTTTTTTCTGTTTTTTTTCTTTTCTTTTTTGGAGCCCCTCAGCGGGCATGCCACGCGTGGCCTTCCGGGTTATCCAGATGCTCTGCCCACCCTTCCTCTCGTCAATTTCCCCGGCGCACCCCTACGCGCACTGTCCTACTGTTACATGCTGCGACTGCAACAGGCTGCACAGGCCATGTTCAGGCCTGCGTCGTTTTCAGTCTGAAAGCCTGAAATTAAGGGCCTACAGGCCCTGTGTCGTTTCAGCCTGAAAGCCTGAAAACAAGGGCCTACAGGCCCTGTGTTGTTCAGCCTAAAACAGGGCCCTCCAGGCCCTGAGTCTTTGCAGCCTGAAACGGAGGGCCATTTTCAGGCCCTCATAAGATCGACCTGCCCTGAAACTCAGGTACCAGACCAGGGTTTTAGCACATGCCATTTTGGGCCTGTTTTCAAGACAACCTTTGTTTGAGCTTCAACACCAGGGTCTGGCACGTTTTGGCATTGGCAAGAGCAGCCTTCTGGACAGGCCAGCGCTATAGAAGACTGGCCCGCCCTGCAGGCTGCAGGTAGTTCATGCAGGCTGCAGGTAGTTCATAGGGACTTCCCAGGCACTTCACGTGCAGTTCAGGAGGCAGGAGGTAGTCTTCAGGATTCGGCAGCAGCACTCTGGAGGAGCCCTGCTGTAGTATAGTAGTAGCATTAGCAGTAGTCTTTAGCGCTGGGCGCTAGTAGGAGCTAGAGTAGTACGAGAGAGAGAGAGAGAGAGAGAGAGAGAGAGAGAGAGAGAGAGAGAGAGAGAGAGAGAGAGAGAGAGAGAGAGAGAG